AATAACATTTGGTAGTATTTCAATGTTCACTTTATTTAATTTAAGAGGTCATATGGAACATAAACTAGACAACAAACAGTAAATTGGATTCAAAATAAACTTTGTTGAGTTACATATAGCTTTTTAACTTCCCTTGTTTGTTATCCAGAATATGGCCATACTGAAATGTTTTTTTTGTGTCACGTTATGGGGAAAACAATATAAGTATATATTAAAATATTATAGTGATTTTTGCATAAAGACACAGTTTCCATTGAAAAAATGTTTACAATATTGATGCAATATAAACAAAGTGAGACTGAGTCCCCATTATCATAATTTGTAATTGACTCAATGAAGGTCTCTAGTTGCTCAGGAACCGCGCCTCAAGGTGCGGGTTATTAGATCAATAATACAGATATTATCGACTGTAGACAGCAGAAGTGTGCACGGATCTGCACAGGTGGAATAGATAACAGTGGTTTCACCGCTCAGTGTCAGAAAATAGCACATTGTGCAGTTATATTGGACTACAAGATAGAAGGCGACGCCTGTACAGGTAGATGTTATGTTAAAGCATAAATGAGCAAGGAGGTGTAAAATCAAGACCAGCTTGACTTTTGCATATTGAGCTTTATGAAAGGTATGGGGAGAGAGAGTTCTACTAGCGAGCGGTGTGAGAGGAGCGGAGCGTGTGGTTACATTCAGGGTTAACATAGTATGCTTGGATTGCGCGCTCGCGACTGGGCTCTGCGAATGCTCGTCATGGGGGAGCGAGAAGCAACCCAGTCAACGCGCATCAACAGCAGTGCCTCTAAGTCTAGTCAGTGATGCGGGCGATCAACCCCAACACAATGGTATGACCGATCTGTTTTGCCTATGAGAGTGTTTGCAATATGTTTGTTTTTTTATAAAAAAGCCATTACGACCAGCAAACATAACAAAGGGCTGAGCTTTCCTCCATGCAGACCGCTTATCGCTTCGCAGAGATGTGGTGAGAGCGTTCGAGCTCGTTGTTGGGTGTGTGTATGTGTCATTGTTGTGTGTGGGAGTGTTGCTAGCTGTTCTCTGGCAATGCTCTTGGTAAGAGAGAAATGATATAAGTGCCATGTACGATAGGCAAGCTAACATCAGCATGTACGGTCAGTGGTAGGCTCTACAGATAGATTTGGAATATGGATGAGGCTGTAGTTTGGTTGGGATGCTATGTGAGTGTTTTAGTGATGTGTTAATATGACTCGATTTACATAGTCTGTGTGGGAGAGTGAGATGTCGTGTGATGAACTGAGCCCTGTCTTTGTTGGCTGCGCGAATATGTGGAGTGTGTGTGATGTGTGATGGAGTGCTGAGAGTTAGTGTGAGTGGATCGCGAGGTGCTTTGTCTTGGTGCCCGTGTATAGCACATAGAAACTGAGATGTATGTTGTTAGTTTTACGTATTGAGCGTTGACTGAAGCGTTATGTAGCTGACTGTGACTGTGTACGTGATCGTGATCGTAGAGTTGCATGGGCGAGAGATTATGGGGCTTAGCTAGATGATCGCCAATTGGTCTAGCTTAGTGATATGCTACGCCGTGTGCTTAGATGCCTGTGCGTTTATGAATAGCGAGTTTGGACTAATTTTGCTTACGCGTGAAATGCTTATCAATTGTCTAACACATAACACACGGTAGTACAATATCAACCGATCGGTGTCCTTCTTCGGGCCCCCTCCTCGTGTTTATGCAAGAGCGGAGTACAGTATATCTTTTTTTTTGCGCGTTTGCGCCTTAAACAAGCCCGGATATATGCGAGATTCAGTGAGCTCATAGCTTTCTAACATTACTGCCACCAACATCACGGGGAGTGTCTCTCAGGATCTGAGATAAGCCTCAGCCAATTACGAGGAGGTGAGCGCGCAGAGTATGAACTACAGAAACGGTGTGACCTGGGGTGCCAACATACAATAGACGTCAGAAAGACCGTGTTTCTACTGCGCACACTTCAAACTGGAAGTTGCACCTCACATGCCATGACGCGATGCAAGATACCACGGTGCGGGCCCAGCGGATTGTGAGAGGACAGAGAGAGCTGAGAGCAGAGGGGGAGATACAGACTCAGATTTCAAACTCCTGTTAAATCGTCCAGTCGTTAAAACACCTCTTGCGCTCATTACCAGAAACTAGGTTAACGGGAACGCAAGAGCACTTGCCGGTTTCATTTGCTATTACATGGCGGGTAGTAACTAATGTTATTCATAACTTTGTTATTTGTTCATTTTACGATTAATATTGTCATCGTTAATATATCTGTTTGTTTGGTGGTATCCCTCTATTATTAAAGTGTACTTTTTATTATTTTATGTTTGTGAAGCTTGAGCTGTTGTTGCCTTATAGTGGTTAGCCCCTCGCTTATTCTTCGTAAGTCGAGTGCTGGTAAAAGACTGGACTTGAGGTTTTAAGGTGCAGTAGTAGTTTTGGTATGACATATGGATAAAAAATCAGCGCTGTGAGACAGTCTGACCAAGAGCGCTCTAATAAACTAGTCGCTGTTTGTTTTGAGAGAGGAGAGTCTCCATGTAAGAAAGGCAGTAATCACATCTCAAATTGAAGCTTTTTCTTATCCGGGCACAACAGCAGTATTGCTCTTATATGGTGTTACAGGAGATGTAATATAAAAGCCGCCATTCGCCGATGGTGAATAATGCGCAATATGTTTTTTTGGAGTGTAAATGAATATGTTATAAGTTAAGTTATTTGAACTAGTGAGATACACAAGTCTCGCAGGAAAAACATAGCCTGCAATAATTACAGATACAATCTGCTCTGATA